TGCCGCTCCTGTCAGCTAAGAACAGGAAACTGAGGCTACAATTCACACAGACCCACCAAAACTGGACAATAGAAGATTGGAGAAACGTTGCCTGCTCTGATGAGTCTCCATTTCTGCTGACACATTCGGATGCTCGGGTCAGAATTTGGCATCAACAGCATGAAAGCATGGATCCATCCTGCCTTGTATCAGCAGTTCAGGCTGGTGGTGGTGGTTTAACTGTGTGGGGAGTGTTTTTAGTACCAATTGAACATTGTGTCGACGCCACAGCCTACCTGAGTATTGTTCCCGACCATGTCCATCCCTTTATGACCAGTGTACTCCTCTTCTGATGGCTACTTCCAGCAGGATAACACACCATGTCATAAAGCGTGAATCATCTCAGACTTGTTTCTTGAACATGACAATGAGTTCACGGTACTCAAATGGTCTCCACAGTCACCAGAGCTCAATCCAATAGAGAACCTTTGGTATGTGGTGAAACGTGAGATTGGCATCATGGATGTGCAGCCGACAAATCTGCAGCAACTGCGTGATGCTATCATGTCAATGTGGAGCAAAATCAGAGGAATATTTCCAGTATCCTGTTGAATCTATGCTACGGAGGATTAAGACAGTTCTGAAGGTAACCCGGTACTAGTAAAGTATACCTAATAAAGTGGCCGGTGAATGTATGTGCGCGTACTGTGTGTATATTTATACTACACACATGCATGCATATATTTGAGAAAATATTTATTAATATTTAGACAAAATATATAAGTATTTAATACCAATTATATCTAAATTTAGAAATCTATGCAAAAACGTTATGTATATGTGTGAATTATATACTCATTTATAAATGTATAGATAAAAACAAATATATATCAAAAACATGCCAAAGCGTTATTTTTAATTGTTATTCGTCAATTTAATCTTTGCCCAGCACTAATAATGAATAAAAAGTAATACTTTTATTATTTGAAAAAGGTTTGTCTAATATTCTGTGTTCAGACTGTTATGAATTCACTTTTCCGTCAGAAGCTGCATGTGCCTTTATGCCTTTCTCTCCTGTAACTCGATCTGAAGGGCACAGTGCTTAAAATGGAGCATAAATGTATTTGCATTGATCATATGCAGTCTCCATGATGCCAGTGCATCAAAACAACAAAGATAAAACAGGTCAGGGCCAAAAATTCTCAGCTGCCTTGTAATCTGATAAAATAATACTGCAACAATACAGTTAGCCCACGGATCAATACATACCTCGGTTTTTTTAACACGGTTTTCGGTTCGGTTCTCATGGCTTGACACACGTTTTTTTTTATTCTATAGGCAATAGAAACAGTAAGAGGTTAAGGAGAAAAAAGTAAAAACGATTTATTGCAATACTCATTTTGTTTTACTTAAAAGCCATGAAAAGTACAGTAGTTCCTAGTGCATTGTATAAAAACGAACACTGCAATCTGCACTAAAAGCATCACCCTTCCTAGAATTCAGTCGCAAAAAGTTAACTTTGCTTGAGGTGGACATGGACTTTAGAAATAATAGGACATGGAAAAACATTTCTTAAATAAACGCTTAAGTATATTAAACACCGCCCACGTAGCACCATTATCCTTGCTTTGTTTACTGTTGGTTGCTAGGTTACCAATACTATAACTAGCCACTCTAACAACTTGACCGAAAATACAACCCATAACCCACCCAATTTGCATTTGAGATTTCCACTTTATATTAGGTGGCCTTATCTAATATGTATTTGCACTAATATTGATCATTTTTTACAATGGACTTTGTTTACATGCATGCTTTTACATTGCACTTATTCTTGATTTAATACATGCATGTAAATTTCATTCATTCTCCTTCGGCTTAGTCCCTCATTAATCAGTGGTCACCACAGCAGAATGAACCACCAAGTATGGCAGCATATGTTTTATGCAGCGGATGCCTGTCTAGCTGCAATCCAGTACTGGGAAACACCCATTCACACTTTCATACACTATGGCCAATTTAGTTAATCAATTCCCCCTATAGCTTATGTTTTTGGACTTGTAAGGAAAACCGGGTAATGCAAACTCCACACAGAAATGCCAACTGACCCAGCCGGGACTCAAACAAGCAATCTTCTTGCTATAAGGTGACAGTGCTAACCACTGAGCCACCATGACGCCTGCATATCATAATTAATTACATTTATAATACACCATTGAACCATCCCATACACTTAAACCATCGCTAAAACTACTCAAACCATCTAATCTTACCCTCAATAGGACCAGAAATGTTCTGCAATACATTATGAACAGTAATTTACAGGGCTCGAAATTGCGACAATTTTGGTCGCATATGCGCCCGAAATTTTATCCATGCGACCTCAAACTATATTTGGGAGCATTTGTGTGAGTGCATGAAATTGTTGTGTGCGTCTAGATTTTACTGCAAAATGTTCACCACATGCGCGGATTCGGGAGACATTCACACAGAATGCATCTTTGCACTTGAAACGCGAAACGCAGCGCTCAGGAATGGTTTAAAACATTCGTCATGTCAACTTGCTGCAAACAAAGCCAAGTCCGTAATGCTTGCCCCGCCTTCGCTCTCTTCTTATTGGCCCACTGCTCTAGCACTGAAATATCAGCTGTCAATCACTCAGTCAATGCCTTCTGGGTTGGGATGACAGAGAGAGCTACTACCACGAAAAACTGTAAAGCGCTGAAGATGAGAATGAAGATTACACTGACAGATTTCGTTTTAGAAACCATGACATCTAAAGTTACAAATAATGACACATCTTACTAGTGACCATGTGCTGAATGTTAATCCACCATCTACACTTTTCCAAGAGTGGATAAAAGACTGTTGGCTTCAAGTCCGCTATGAAAAGTCTCTGGGATGGAATTATCAGGTAACTGTTTGCCACATCTAGCACAAGAGCTTCTGTTTAATCCTTCATATAATCGACAGATGCTGTCCGCCGTGCAAGTGGCAGCTAAATGTCAAATTTAACACCACGTACACCATCACAAACGGACTTGCACTGAGTAAACTAACATCGCTACTCATGAAAAGACCGGTATTGCTATGAACATGACGTTTGCATATAATAAGGCACAGTATACGTCAAAAGCATCAGTGCAATATCAGACAGCACCTATGAGAACAGCAGAGTTACACTGTTAACAGATTCATTCATGTCAAGCAGTGTGTGCAGGGCCGGTGAGCGCTCCGTGTATCCTTTAGTCACTCAGTTCTGTTATAAAAATCTATTTTCTTGTGATAAAGAGATTTCGTCGAGACATATTTTCCTCACGCTTGCATTTTTTTTTGTTGCTTGTTAGTTTTAATAGTGTTGATTTCAAATGCAATAAATATATTTGTATAAAACTTGTAGTAACGGTGCTTATAATTGGAGTGTGCGACAAAATTTTGCCTGATGCGCCTACATTTTTAAAGTTATGCCTAGTTCAGACTGCGTGATTTTAGCCCCGATTTTGGCTCGCCGACAGGTTTTGAGAAATCGCCGACAAATGCCTGAAAATCACAGGCAAATCGGTGCTCGTGCACGTGAGTGACAATCACACAGTATGAACGATCAAAGACGCGATCTGAGAGAATCGCCGATGAGTTGCCGATGCCTGAGATATTTGGCCTGCTGAATATCTGGAGCTGTCGGCGATTCAAATCGTGCCGTGTGATTTGAGTTTTGACTGAAAATAACATCGGAGATCGCCTACAGCCAAAGAGAGAGCGGCATTTAATTGTGTGAGCATGTGTGTATACCTGCTGCAGGCCAGCGGGATCCTGGGGGAGAAGGTAAAAGCGCTCTTTTTAGGTTTATTTGGACCCACGAAATGGAGGAAACACTAGTGGAGGTTTGACAGGACTCAGGAGCAGCCGAGTATGTCTGATATTTCATACAGAAAGAAATTATTTTATTATCAACGTTGAGGAGAAATGGCTAATTCCCTTTAAACCCAGGTGAGCAAACATGTACATGTTCTACCCCATTAAAGGCTTCTCTCTCATTATGTAGTTAATAACAAAAGATATACCACATGTTTTTGGCTGTGAGACGTAGTTTGGACGAAGTTGTCGGCGATTCTTCCTATAGTAAAGTCATGCAATGTGAAAGTCCCTGTCGCCGATCCATCTTGCAGTATAAACAAAGCAGCGATGAAACGCTAGCCCAGATAGTCAAGCATTGTGAAAACATCTGTGATATGACTACTTTCAAAATCATGCAGTCTGATCTCGGCATTAGGAGCACCCGTGCTACCAAGGAAAAAGGTTAATTTCGAGCCCTGAATTTACCTTGCTTTTACATTTTGAATGCAAGTACATGTAGTTAAAGCCATTTAATATAAAGTAGGACTGGGTTTTTGAAGGAGAATAGAAACCCGGCTACTAATACAACGCCATTCCAATCATAACCACCCACATTTACATATCAGCATCACAAATGTATCCATTTACATGCTAAATTATAAAGGGTAGCACAGCAATTCAGAAAATAATCATGGAACAGTTATTTATCGGCACAAGAATCCTTAACTAAATGCAAGTCATGTTAAATGTAAGGAACATGTTGTTGATTAAAGACAGAAGCCAGTGTTGTGCAATCACATCTGTCGTCTTAATTAGTCAACTGAGACAGTAGGTTGTATAAAAGACATTCAGAGACATGCACACAGAAGCCCAGAGCCAGTTTTCTGGCAAGATCTTCAGTTGAACAGAAGTGAAACCAATCCCATGTTTAAACTTTGCCCTCGGCCACCACAAGTTCACTCAAATAAAGATCAATACGCGCTACAGTAAATCTAAAAGAAACCATACATGACTTTCAGTTAGAGCTGACTGTGGCAAAGAAAAGAGTGCATATAAACACATGCACAGATCCCATTTTACCTCACAAAAAAAAAAAAAAAAAAAAAAGTAAGGAATTTTCTGCAGTAGAAAATCTATTTGTTTTGTCAATGCTGCAATGCATTCCTCAAACAGAAATAAAGCCGTACCTGAAGTTTATCCTCTGGGACGTTGAGCCAGTGGTTGAACGCCTGAGAGAGTTTTGTTCTGACTTGTTTTCCTATCAAAACACAGAAAGATGACAAGACGTCAAAATCAGCAACACAACAAAGACAGAGCAGATGCTTCCCACCACTAAGACACCAGACACACAACTAAAACAAACAAACGGCTTTCTTTCAGAACAGAGTGAATTGAGCCTACTTTTATAAATCACATTTTGACAAAAACATTTATTTAAAAAAAAAAAATATAGCTGAACAATATATCGCTCCAGCATCAATATCGCAATGTGCACTACCTGACAAAAGTAGTGTTGTGGATTCCAGTTATAGGAACAACAAATAATAGCTTGACTTCTGGTTTATTATTTGGGAAAGAAGGCCGATTTTTCCCACGAGTCACCTGTTGAACTGCATCCCAATCATCACAAATACTGCAGAAGAGCTACTGGAGCCCACATGGAGCCAAGATTCTCACAGAAATCAGGCAAGTTTGGTGAAGGAGAAATCATGCAGAGTGCAGAGTGGATGATCAACATCAACAGCCTGAGGTATCAAGACATTTGTGCTGCCCATTACATTACAAACCACAGGAGAGGGACAATTCTCCAGCAGGATAGCACTCCTTCTCATACTTCAGCCTCCACATCAAAGCTTCTGAAAGCAAAGATGGTCAAGCTGCTCCAGGATTGGCCAACCCAATCACCAGAGGTGAACATTATTGAGCTTGTCTGGGGTAAGATGGAGGAGGCTTTGAAGATGAACACAAAGACTCTTGATGAACTCTGGGAGTCCTGCAGGAACGCTTTCTTTGCCATTCCAGATGACTTTATTAATCAGTGATTTGAGTCATGTCAGAGATGTATGGATGCAGTCCTCCAAGCTCATGATGGAGTCAGACACAATATTCATTCTGTTTCCACTGCATAATATTTTACTCAAATAAGCGTAATCTAGAGGATTTTGCCTTTCATATAAGCCACTTCTGATACCAGGTGATCAACTAGAAGTCAAGTTATTATTAGTGGTTTCTGAAACTTGGATAGGCGACGAGACTTCAGTCAAATAGTGTAGTCACATCGCAAGATCTGCAAAGTTGAGTCTGAATTATGGGTGATCTTATTTGTAGTCGCTGCTAAGTTTAACCATAATAGAGTGAAAGTTTATCATTTGCATGTTTTTAAGGCCTGTGACTGAGCTCTTAAAGAGACTTTGTAACATTTGTGCACAAAAAACTATGATGTTTGGAGGCATAACTAAGATTTATTGTATTTAATTATTAATTCATTCATCTTTTCGGCTTAGTCCTTTTATTATTCCAGGGTCGCCACAGCGGAATGAACCGCCAACTTATCTAGCACGTTTTTTAACGCAGCGGATGCCCTTCCAGCTGCAACCCATCTCTGGGAAACACACACACACGCTCATACACTATGGAAATTTAGCCTACCCAATGGGGTACATGCTGAGCTAGTGTTGTTCCCATACTGAACTTCCGGTGACCTGTTATTGTGAGTTTTCTTCCATTTTATATGGTTCCTTTTACAGCATCGATGTTGTAATGTCATTCAAATACAATCAGTAAAACAGACTTTGGCATTCATTTAGCTGCTCAAGCGTAAAACGAGACAAAAAGCTGTTTGCTCGCACGTAGGGTTGTAACGGTATGAATTTTTCACGGTATGATAATCGTCTAAAACAATACCACGGTTTGACGGTTTCGCGTTATACGGTATGTTACAAATGTTACAAAATAATAGAACAGTGAAGCAAATTTGACTTTTTCCAAATAATATATTTTAGTTACTATAAACAACACCACTTACAATGAACAAATAAAAAAATAAGAAAATAATAAATAATGTGTCAAAGTCCAAATAAAGTCCAAATAAACATGGTGCAAATCCTCAGTAAAAAAATAGATATAAATATTTACTATACTATAAATAGTTACATAACGAAACTAGATTCAATATGGAACATCCTTAGGTTTTATGTGCCAGCATGGATATGGTTGTCTGTGGATATGGATTTGGATATGGATGTCTGCAATGCAGACAAACAGCTGCACCTTCATTTGCGTCTTTTGAAAACAGCAAGAGCAGCAGTTCGTCTTTGCTGTGTCACTGTTTTGTCATGTTTCTGTGCTGCTGTGCATGCAAAAGTACTTAGTATGAGAATTATTTCATGCAAAACTTTTTTTTTGCGTTTTATTTAGCCGCGCATAAATGTATGCCTATCTCTCATTCCCTGTTGTTGAAAAAGCTCATTGTTGGTCCACAAACAAAAGTGAAACCTATGCTTATTGGTTGTGATATAGCGAGTTTGAACCAATCTGGGCATGGAGGAGGGACAATGCATCAATGTATCATGTCTGGTTTGTCCGGAGACACAGTGACGAGCGTTTCTTTGTCAAATCAGCGTTGTCAAATTTTGATGACGTAACCGCACTTATTCCGGAGCCTCTGAAAGTCCTCGATATGTTATGTTATGTGATACAGCACTGGAAAGCTGAGATCCTCTTCTTTATGCCAATCTTTGAATTGTATGAATCGGATCAGCGAATCAAAAGTTATTAAACATTTAAGAGCAATACTTATTTTTAGCCGCGGGCGGCTGTCTTGGTCTTTAAGGGTTAAAACCGTTGATATGCAATTGTTCATGGTATGATAATCGTGCACGTTCAAATCGTGGTAGACCGTCATACCGGTATATTGTTACAACCCTACTCGCACGTGCCCGTCAGTTTGGGCAGGCTAGCGCAGAAGCTCAGTTGAATATACTGGGGTAAAATAAATGCTCATATTATAAAGACACGGCGAGGGGAAATGTAATTTAATGCAGTGCTTCTTGTACAATCTGAGACCCACTTTACATCAGATATCACTTAGTCAGAGGAGATTGGTGATTTTTAAAGAAAACAGACCTTAAACGCACCGATTTTGCATTGGTATACAATTCACCGGACACTATAAACCCAGGTTACTGGCAAATTCGAAGTCCTATTAGCATGCTTCGACATATACCCTATTCACCTGTACCGCACGTCTTTGGACTGTGGGGGAAACCGGAGCACCCGGAGGAAACCCATGCGACAGCACTACCTACTTCGCCACCTCTGCATTTAATCATTTATGCATAATTGATATGATTTAGACGTCAAATCTCATTTACAGATATCATATCAGGTCATTTAACATACATTTAAAGTTACTCAGTCATGTTTTGAGTTAAATAAAGGGTGCAAATTTTGGACAGAAGCCAACTCATAGGTTTATGCATTGTTTAAATATATGAACGATGCATTATCTAGTTAAATAGAGTTTGCATGCATTTACAGAAATGAAATCTCAACATGGATAAAGACATAATCAATATTATTTGCCTTTTTAAAAATAATCAGATAATAGACTGGAGGAAAATTGTAATGTTGGGTGACCACAACAAGATAAACCACACAAAGGCTTGCAAACAAACTACATTTTTGAGATTAGATTAAGAAATCAGGTAGCACGGTAGCAACTGAAGATTATTCAGCAAGCGATGCCTCCGAATATCATTCATCTCCATTCATGAGTGTTTTACCCTGCAGCTTCCTGTAACTCAAGCCTTCAGTGAGCGATCTAATGACCTACTGGCAGCCGCACGCTTTTCCCTTACTGAAAGCACTCCGTCTGCCCTTTACTCATGCGGATGAAGCTCTCAAAACCAGTCAAGAACATGTCAGATTCATTTTTACCACCCATCATCTAAAACCAAACCTGTGACATTTATAGAGACCTATTGTGGCCCATTTTACAATGTGTAAAATAAGTCTCTGATGTCACTTAATGTGTGTGTGTGAAAATTCAGCTGAAAAATACCACACAAATAATATTCTAACTCTGTGTCACGATCACCAGCGATCTAAAACACCATAGATCTTTGGTAAACACTCAAAAGGCTTAACGGACTACAAATCCACCATTTCATGGACTACAACTCCATACATGGACTCCTGACTAATTACTTGGACTATAAGAACACCTCTCAAACACACTGCTGAGTCTTGTCTACTGTTTTAGTGATATTACAATGCGTCTTTCTTCCTTCCTTTTTTCCGTGTTTTTGATCCTTACATTTTTCATTTGTTTATTCCTGTTTGCTGCCTGCCTTGTGACCATCTGCCTGTTATTTTGACTAGGACTCTGGATTGCCCTTATACATCTGTTTTCCCCTGTATTGACCACTGCTTGCCTGACCTCGCTAATAAACCTGCACCTCTGTTGTCAGCGTCACTTCCCCTGTTACACTAAGAAACTGACCCTTTTAGGCTTTAATCTTTTGGTGTGAAGATACAAGATGTGCAGCACCTGAAACTATGGATACTGGAAGTCTGTGCAGGCATTTCTCCTGTGGTGTTGCTATCAGTGTATGAAGAGTGGGAGAAGAGGGTTGCATTGACATTCCAACACAATAAGCAGCACATTGAACATTTCATAAGTGGTCAGAAAATTGATTGCGATCTTTTATCGATTAATCGTGCAGCTCTAAAAATGAAATCAGGTGTTTCGAGAGCCCACCAATTAGTTTTTTTACCTATACTTTAAAGAGCCCATATTATGGGTTTTTGGAAATGCCCTTTCCATGTAGTGTGTAACACAGCTCTAAGTGAAGTGAAGTATCCAGCTAAGGCTTAAATCTGTAAGAGTACAGTGTTTAAAACTGTTGATTCATCTATAAGAATCGACTCATAGTGCTTCAAACGAGTCGCCTTGATACAGAGTTATTAGGTGTTTTCGCCATGACGTACTAACGAAACCAAGCTATGTACGTGCACGCGCAAACCCGGGAGATTTGAAACCTGCGGCCCCGCCCTCTGACGCAGAAACCCACACACACACCCACAAACACACGCACACAAACATGCCGGTCGATTGAAGTCACACTGCAGATGGATATATTGAGCCTCTACCCAAAGATGAAACCTCAGCATTATAACCAAGCAGTTGGAAACTACTGGAAACTTCTGCAAACTACATGCTACAAAGAATACTTCATCAGCGTTTGTTAAAGGAAG